TTTGTCGGAATTTATGGTATTTAATGTTTAAATGCTCGCAAAAACTATTGATTTTTTTCATATAGTAATATTCGGATTTGTTTTTTAGAGGCGCTGTAGTAAAAGCTATGGCAATTTGTACTAGGCATCAATATTTACATATTTATAAGGTTGTATTTTATTTTTCATTTTTATGTTAAATGTTGATGATATTATTGCTATTATTTCTAAAGAATTTTTTGTAATTAATATAGCCAGTTCTTTTATTAGCACTTGATAATTATTTTCAAGATCCTTCAGTAGAATGTCTTGCATCTCTCTATGAAGCTGTGAATTCAATGGATTGTAAATTTATGCCAATATTTAATGCTCATGAAAAAGCTATTTTACGTGCATCAGAGAATAAAGATATGTTTGAAGAAAAATTTACAGCATTTGAAAACAATAGAAAACATGTACAAGAAAGTTCTACAGTCTCATTGAGCGATCAATTATCTGACGAAATTTCGGGTAAAGGATTGGGAATAATTAATGAAAATAGTGAAGGTTATGGAAGTGATTACGTTATTGTCAGTGAAGAAGAGAGAGAAAAATTGAAACGAGGAACTTATATTGATTTGGCTCCAAATTTGAGTAAAAATAAAGATAGACATTTCTTTGAGACAAAAGTTGTGTATAATGGAATTAAACTTCCTATAAGAGTGCCATTAACCGTTAATCCTGAAGAAGTTGGTGACGTAAGTTACATATACTTTGTTTTAATCCTATTATTAATTAATTATCTCAATTTGTAATTTTTCAATTTATACTAAAAAAAATATCTAATAGTTTTCATTAATTAAACTAATCACTACATTCAATCCACCATCACCGGCTCCATTTAATCACCCATTTCATCCTCATTTGGATTCAAGTGGAAATCAAACCCAGCCAATAATTTTATTGCTTAATGCGCTACTTACTCAGAAACGGATTATTTTTTTGGGGCAAGGACATCCGTCGGGTGATGTTGCCAATTATGTGTTATCCGCATGTGCTATGGGAAGTGGCAGTGGTGGTGTTTTAAGAGGATTTACGGAACGTGCTTTTCCATACACTAATTTAACAAATGTTGATGACTTGTTAAAAGTGTGAGAATTATTTTAATATTTTACGATACTTGGATTTTTTTTTTTTTCATTATGCTTGAGTTACTATAATTTCGATGCTGTTTCAATTTATGTAGGCCAGGTTTTATAGCTGGAGTAACAAATAGAATTTTTGAAGATCATAGTTCATGGTGGGATGTTTTATGTAATATTGACACGGGAAAAATTACTGTTAGTAAGGATATTGCGACTCCTTCATATGGAACTAAACCAGATGAAAAACCTGAAGAAGGTGTAAGATCTCCTTCAAGTAAAACTGAATCTTGGGGACGAGAAAAATGGGACACTGCTGATAACGAATTTATGGCCGAAGTATATTTTATTTCATTTTATCATTTATTCATTTTCACTTTATCATCCTTTAAATATTTATCATTCTCAATATAATTAAACAAAATTCAATAAAAAATTTTTAGGTAATGCATGCAATTCAACATCACTACGGTGAAACTGCGATACGTGGTAAATTTCAAGAGTATGTACAGCGTTTCGTAAGACTAACGGCTTTATATGAAGTCGAGACTTTTGGTTCAACTAAAATCGGAATGATGCCAGAGGATACAGATTATCCGGGAATTCTTAGTACAGGACTAGCATTTCAGGATGATAATTCAAAACATAGAGAATTTGCTGCTAACGTTAATAGAATTGAAGGATGGAGGCAGACAATTAGTTATAAGTATTATCAGTTGGTAAGAATTTTGTATGATGAATGGGCTGAAAGAATTTATAATTCGATTATTCAACCATTTCTTTATTCATTACAGCATTATTTTATTTTTTTTTTCTATACTATCTAGGATTTCCAAAATTATTTGAAAACACGTAACATAAAATCCTTTGATGTACATCACCAAGTGTCAAAATTAAAATTGTTAAAAAGTTTGCCTGAACAAGAGGTTGAAACTTTATACAAAGCGTTTGTTAATAGTATTTCCACTGACGAACAAATCATTGAGGTAAAGTTTCTAATATCGTTTGATTTTTATTAACCTTCAAATTATTAATACTTGAATTTTTATAGTTCTTGTCATATCTACCACAAAATCAAGGAGGTTTATTTCCGATTGGGCTAGGTCTGTTTTATCCACTTAAGACCGTAAGAGATAATACAATTGAATTGTTCAATAGGCTTAATAGTCATGCTGTAAGTTCATATATTTATTGTTTTTTCTTGGCTTTTTAAAATCGAATCAACTAATCTCTTATCCTTATAGACTGGAAGTAAATTTATACAGAGTTTAAATAGCTTTCAAAAACTTGCTTACGAAAGGCAATTTAATCAAAAGCGAGAGAGACAACAACAGTTAGAATTCGCTAATAAGCTCGCTTGTTCACAAGATTCTAATGATTCTAATTTGGAGTTTATGGAATTTTGATAGTTATTTTTGTGAGATAAAAAAATTTTATTTATTTATTTATTTATTATTTATTTATTTATTATTTATTTTATTTATTTATTTTATTTATTTATTTATTTATTGAAATTTTGGTTAAAGGTAGCACTAATTCTGTCGTAAAATGTTTAATTTAATAATAGACTGGAATGGTTGATTTTTATTAAAATAAGTTGTATAGAATGTTTGGATTATGGATTATTTTCGAAATAGATAGAACCAATTTTGGAAATTTACATATAATTTATTTATATATATATAGCATGTATTATTAAACACATTATACATATATTTATTGTAAAGTTATGACGATGTACCTTAATAGGTTTGGTTCAATTGTAATATTTTTGATGTCATAATTTTTGGTTGTAATTATCGTAACATAAAAGCTTCATCACATATATAAGCAAAATAGATTAAATATAAATTTGTGCAAGTTGTTTAATTAACAAGAGATATCGATCTGTAGGCCGCAGAGAAATTGTGGTTCCATATATATTATTCGGATAACAAGCTTGTAAAAACTTAACATACTGACATGTTTTTTTTTTAAAGCCAATTCGATAATGCCTTCGAAGGTATTCATAATTAACTATATAATACAAGAAAGAATAAAGGTATATATATCGATATGTATAGTTAACAGAGAAATCAAAAAAAAAAGTGTATACATAATACAAATACGTATAATTAATAATGCAAGATACGGTTAAAATATACAATATAAATATAAAAAGTCTTTATAAAGGAATAACTTCGAGAACAAAAAAAAAAAAAACTTAATGGGTTTTTATAACGTTTCACTTTCTAAAATTTCTTTCTTTTAACATATTTATTATATCTTCCATCCATCCTTAACCATTATTACTAATGCTAAAAACACCTTGACATATTAAAATAACACATTTAATAATATCTTCCATTATGGTAATATTCATAAACAAACTGTCATTGAAAAAAAATTTTATTTACGTTAGGTAGGGTTCGGGTTTGGTTAAAAGAGCCATAGTGTAGCAAAATTGCACAAGGAATTTTTTTTTGTTAGGGCCCAAAGGTGGTTTGCTAGCATAAATTTTGAGATAAGATTTTTGCAAAGCGAGCATTTGTTTTACAGCTACGTATTTTCATTATTCCTGGAACACCTGATAAAAATTGACCGAATGATGTTACGGCCGATTCGTGATTTCGGCACAATAAATTGATATATCTACGTACGTAATTTAAAATCAAGTGACTAATATAAATATTATACGATTATTGGATTTTTGGTTGAATCCAAAATATGATACTTTCTCGTTGGAAAATTGTCAAAAAAATTTAGGTCTATCATATCGAATAATTGCCGAACACTTAAGTGTTAGCATATCTTCTGTAAGTTGGGTTCTCAAGCACTTTCAAAACTATGGATGCGTTGAAAAACTTCCGTCACTTCCAAGAAAACCACGCTCATTAAACACACGATATAAAATAGGGAAAATTATGCATTGGGACCCAAATTTGAAAATAATTATAAATGAGGGCCCAACTTAAAAATATTTATTTATAAAGGCCCAATTTTTGAAAATATTACAAATACGGGCCCAAGTAATTTTGGTCGTATGAACCAGTGCCCATTGTGGCTTAAGCACATCATCTTCGATTGTAAATATTAGCGTTATGTCAAACACATTACAAATTGGGATGATGTTTACTTTGAGAAACAGCACCAGAAGACCAATATGCTTGCAAAAAACGCGGTAAAAAAGGCCATAATATACGGACCTGTAATCGAAGACATAGGCAGAAAGAAAATTAATTTACTATGCTTAATGGAAAATTGCATTCATATAAATGTTGCCTTTATAAGGACTCTTTCCTGTAAATCTGTAAATCATAAGGAAAACAAAACAAACAAAATCCTAAAATGGCCTACGAACTAATTATAAAGAAAACTATAACTAGACTATTGCCGGAAGGCAAATAAATATTACCAAGTGCCCTGGGAATATTCACCACATTGAAAAGAGACAGAGACACACTTCTTGCTACTCCAGAATCCTTCGAACCCTTCCTCATCCCCTCAATAA